CCGGAGGGAACCCTGCCGCAGACCAAGTTCAACATGGAGACTCGGCCACTTGCCCGAGGTGTGGCAGTTACTGCCGTCCCAGTAAGCGGTGGTTTTTATTTTTTTTATTAAAAATTTTTTAATTGATTTTAGAGAGGAAGGGAGGAGAGCTAGAAACACCAATGATGAGAAAGAATTGCTCAACTGCCTCCTGCCCGCCCCACACTGGGGATCGAGCCCACAGCCCGGGCATGTGCCCTGACCAAGAATCGAACCGTGAACTCCTGGTTCATAGGTCAACGCTCAACCACTGAGCCACGCCGGTCGGGTGAAGATTTTTAGTTTTTGTTTTTATCTATGAAGTGATGATTGTTAATGTTAAGAAAGCAGCTAGCTGGGTCCCACAGTGCCCCTCTCTCTGAATGCCGAGTTCTCTCGGGCTGGGGTGGTGAGCTTGGAAGGGCCCTCCTGCCCCCTCTGCCTGGTCGTGGAACGCCCCCCCTCCTCCCTTATCGACCCTGCACTCAGGACTCTGTTAATGAGACCCTCCTGCTGGGCCGGTGGCCCTCAGCAGCCCCTGGGAGCTGTCAGCTGCAGATGCCTCTGCCAGTCGCCCGCTGGGCCTGGCAGCGCAGGGCTCCGGACGTGATGAGCTATTTATGGAGCAGGCATGGTTCAGACCCCAGTCAGCAACCTGAGACCCACTAATCACATTTCCTCTATTAAGCGAGGGCACGCATGTGCGCGGGCACTGGGGCGCTGTTCTTGCCTCAAAGGAGGGGACAGCCTGCAAAAGGTGGGAGGTGTGAGGTGAGGATGCCCAGGAGGCGCTGGGGGCTCTCAGCATGGAGGGCGGGGTCAGTGTTCAGAGGGGCTCTGGCTGCAGGTGGAGGGGGAAGCTCCACGGAGGCAGGGCCCAGCCAGGAGCTGAGGCCACAAGGACTGCACTGGCGTGGGCTTCTCTGAGGGCCCAAGCGGAAGTGGAACCCAGGTGGCCTGCCTCCCTGTGCCCTGCTCTCTGGGCGAGGCCAGTGGCTCCCCAAAAGTGGACCCAGGAGCTGGTTCTGAGGCCAACTTTGGGCAGACTCTGTGGTCACATGAATTTGGGGAGCGCTGTTGCCTGGGGCCCGTGATGCCTGTGAGTGGACGGCAGGCTCTGAGAGGTCCTGCCCTCCGTTCAACACAGCCTTCCTGGTGACACACTCGTTCTCATCCCCAGAGGAGGCAGGGGAGGTCTGCATGGGCCCAGTTGCCCGGCTGCCCTGTGCTTCCCTCTGGAATCCGCCACCTGGCCTGGGGGATGGCAGGCTCATTCCAGCTCCTCTGACCCTCTGGACTCGGTGCCTCACCTTCCCCATCTGTAAAATGGGGACGATGATTGTCAGCCTCTTCCCGTTTTCACAGACGGCATTAATATGGCAAAGCCTGGGCCCTGCCCAAGGAGTCGGGGGTCCTGGGACCAGCAGACTCGGCTCCTTCCAGCAAATGGAACCTTCCCCGGGGCCTGTGCTGACTGGTGCCCGCGGAGGTGCCCGGCATCAGCAGGGACCTGTCCCAGAGCGCCGCCCTCTGCCTTCAGCGCTGCTGTGGGAGGAGCTCTGGGCTGGCGGGCAAGGCCCTCCAACCCTCTCCAGGACAGTAACCCACAGGCTTCTGCGGGCAGACAGGGTAGCAGTCCTCGGAGGTGGGGCTGTGGACTCACTCAGCGTCTGAAGAACCTAGCACAGGAGCAGGCAGGGAGAGTGACAGAGCCTGGAGGCCCTTATTCTCTGATCAGGCCCATCTGTTTCCTAACGCAGGCCCTCGGCCCTTGGGGGAGGAGCCCACAGGCTGCTGGCTCCCAGGCACCAGCCCGTGGCCTGAGCAGAGATCTCGCTGACATTTGCTTCCTCAGTTGGGTGCCAGGCCTGCACCCTCATTACCAGCTTCCTTCCCACCCTCGGCTCCTCTTAGCAATGCTTTCCCAGGGCTCCCATTGGGTGAGGGGGGAGCCACACCCAGTCAATCACTGTGGGCAGGGGGCATCCTGGGCTCAGATTGGCCACACTGAGCTCTGAATCCACTTCCAGGCTGAGCTGGAGTTGGGGTGTCCCCCACCCAACCTCCCCCAGAGACCAGCCTGACCTTTCTGGACTGTCACAGCCATCAAGGCTAACAGAACCCCTTGGGGAAGAGCTCTGGGGGCGCAAGGGAGGTGTCAGGACAGGCTCTGCGCAGAGGCCGCCTTCTACCTGTAGGTCAAGGCCATGGAAGGAGAGCCTGGCAGGGAGAGGGTGTGGGGCGTGGAGGGGAGTGTTGGGGCGTGGAGAGGGTGTGGGCGTGGAGGGGGGTGTGGGCGTGGAAGGGAGTGTTGGGGCGTGGAGAGGGTGTGGGGCGCGGCGGGGGGTGTAGGGCGCGGAGAGGGTGTGGGCGTGGAGGGGAGTGTTGGGGCGTGGAGAGGGTGTGGGCGTGGAGGGGAGTGTTGGGGCGTGGAGAGGGTGTGGGCGTGGAGGGGAGTGTTGGGGCGTGGAGAGGGTGTGGGGCGCGGCGGGGGTGTGGGGCGCGGCGGGGGGTGTGGGGCGCGGAGAGGGTGTGGGGCGTGGAGGGGAGTGTTGGGGCGTGGAGAGGGTGTGGGGCGCGGCGGGGGTGTGGGGCGCGGCGGGGGGTGTGGGGCGCGGAGAGGGTGTGGGGCGTGGAGGGGAGTGTTGGGGCGTGGAGGGGAGTGTTGGGGCGTGGAGGGGGTGTGGGGCTGGCGGGGAGTGTGGGGCAGACGGGCAGGCCAGAGCACCCTCCGCTCCCACCCCCCAGATTCTGCCCTGAGGCCCGGCTCCAGCCTGTTTCTCTTGAGTCCAAAGCCGTAAGTCGGAGGGGGAGAAAAGGGAGACCGGCATTTGGGGGCGGTCTGTGGCGACGTGGCACTGGGACTTGGGGCCTTGAAGGAGCTGGGCGGAGGGTCTAGACCGAACTGCCCGCGTCCCTGGGCAGATTCTCGGTTGGAATGTTCCCATCCGTAAGCAGCGGTTTGGGCCGGTTTAGCTCCCAGGTCCCTTCCAGGGCGCGGAAGCGGCTCCTTTCCTGGAAGGCTGCCTGTAGGCCCCGGAGAAGTGGCTCTTGACACAGCGTGGGCTCTGCTGGCGGACAGCGCCCCGCCCCGCTCCGCACCTGCCCGCGGGCGCCGGCCTCCCCACCCCCCACAGGCTGGCTCACAGCGGGCGGACCTGTGGGTCGGAGTCCAGTGCCCCCTGGCGGCGCCCCGCGGCCGGCGCTTCCGGACGGCGGGGGTCCGACGGCCGTGACTCAGGGTGGCTCCGCTGCGGGCCGGGAGGCCCGGCTGGGGTTCCGTCGTGGGCCGAGCCGCCGCGCAGTGAAGCACCCGCCGCTGGGAATCCTGGTCGCCCGCCCGCGGTGACTCACCGGGCAGCCGGCTCCATCGCAAGCGCAAGGGCCTGGTTTCCACAATGAATTCTAGGGGGAGCGCCTTGGGGCGGGACTTGCGCCCCCTTTCTCCCTCCTGGCGCTCCAGGAAGCCCGCGGACCCGGCGGAGACCCCGCGGCCGGAACAGAGCGCGGGCCTCCTTTCCCGGAGTGGCGGGGGCGCACGCACTCGCGAGCCCTTCAAATGTGTGGAAAGCCGGGGAGCCTCCGTGAAGCTGAGGGTCCCCAGCCTCGCTCCGAGTCCCTGCGGACGGGGAGCCGATGCGCGGCCCGAGGGGCGGGGGCGACTCAGAGGGGCCCGAGCGCCCTCAGCCCGCAGCCCGCGAGCTGCGCGAGGGTTGGATTTGATCCCCCGGCCGACTTCGCAGCGCCCACGTCCACCTCTGCCCCAGCTCTTTGCCCGCCGCCGGGGGGCGCCCCTTCCCCCAAGTCTCCATCTCTTCCTTGGCCCGGTCCAAGGCCTGGCCCAGAGAAGGGGAGCCCGGGGTGGGGGGTGTCTCCGCGGCTTCAACCTGCCCATTTCGAGCTCCGAGAGACTAGGGGGCCCGTGGTGAAAGGACCCCCCTCGACGATCTGCAGGGAGCAGAGGGAAGCGGGCAGAGGAGGCTGACGTGGTAAGGGGAGAGCCAGGCGAGGTCTCCGCGCCGGACCAAGGGGTCAGTGCGCCCCAGAGGAGGGGGGCCGCGCGTCCAGTCCCAGGCTGGTCGGGAGAGAGGCCTGGCGTTGCTCGGAGAACAGGGGAGGGGCCGGTGGCGTTCGGATGCACCCCGCGCCCAGCCTGGGGGAACCTAGGAGTGTTTCTGGGAAAAGCCACTGGGAGGAAAGAGGGGTGTGGCCCGGACCCCAAGAGTGGCAACCCGTGCCATCCTCGGCGCTCTCCGGGGTAACGCTCAGGTCGGCAGGTTCTGGGTCACCGGATGAGCTGCTGGAGGGAGCTGAGGCGACCCTGGGGACCCCACCACGCGATGAGGAGGTGCCCCCCGCCAGTGGCACGCGCCGGCGCCAGGTAGCTGGCCCTGGGGAACCGCGCGCGCTGCCAGCTCCCGGGTGCACACGGCCCCCTCTGCTGGTGCCCCGCCCTCGGCCGGCTGCCTCCTCTCCCTTAAGCCGCCGGTCTGTCTGCTCCGGCTGAACCCCTCTCCTCCCCCAGCCCCGGTCCCGCAAACTCTCCGCCCCGCGCGGCTGCGCGCGCTCGCAGGGAGCCTGCTCCCAGGACCCAGCAGCCGCCTGGTCTTCCCAGCCTCCGCGCTGAAACCTGCTGCTGGCTCCGCCTCCACCCTCACTCCCCAGACACCTAGTCCTCCGCCCGCCCCCGCCCTCCCGGCACCGGCCGCCCCTCCCGCTCCCTCCGTGCGCACCCTGCGCCGCGCTGGGTCTGCAGCGGGAGCTGCCGCGGCCGCCTCGCCAGCTGGCCGGGGACCAGGCGGGAGGTGGCGCGCCCCGGAGGCTGCGGGGGGAGGGGGAGGGAGGAAGAGAGGAGGAAGGCCGTGCCTCCGCGTAGCCCGGCCCCCGCCCCCCGCGGCCCTCCCGCCGGAGCGGGGCTGCCACGCGCGCGCACACACGCGCACACACACACGCGCACACACACGCACGCACACACACACACACACACACTCGGGCTCCCTCCGGCGCGCACGCACGCAGCGCCCCGGGCAGACCAGCGCCGCAGCCGCCTCCCCAGACGCCTGGACGCCGGAGGGCCCCGACCCCGGCGCGGCTGATGCGCCCGCGCCCGCTCTGCAGCTCCGCGAGGCCCGCGGGACCCCTCCCGCCGCCGCCGCCGCCGCGCCCGCCGCCCTCGGAGAAGCGGGCTGGACGACCGCCACCGCGCCGCCTCCCGGCCGCCCCCGAGGCCGCTCCACCGCGGGCTTTGCCGCCCGGAGGCCGCGCCCCGATCCCGCGCCTCGGGGGCTGAGCGGAGCAAACTTCGTGGACCGGCCGACGCCCGGCAGGGGCCCCTCCCCGTCCCTGCGCGCTCGGGTGGGCCCTGGGCGCTCGGACCTTCGGGCTGCCCCGCCCGCCGCACCTGCCCGGCCCCTTCCCCGCCGGCTGGGGACTCCGGAGACGCCGGCACTTCGCAAACTTTTCCACACCCCCTCGAGGGGGGCCGCGGAGAGGTAAACGGAGAAGGAGGTCCCGCCGGGCGCGCGCCAACCTGTGGGCTCCTAGCGGGGCGCCGCCGCCCGGGAGCCGGACCCCGAGGGGCGCAGGCCCCGGAGGCCGCCTTCGGGCCGCGCTCCCGCTCCTGCCCCTGCTTTTCCGGCGGGAGCGGGGGGCGGGGAGCGGAGGGCCGCGCGGTGCCCGGAGGCGCCGCCGTGCATGGCCCTGCGCAGTGGGGCGGGCTGCTTCGGCCGGGTCTGGCGCAGGGTGTCGGGGCTCCCGGACGCCTGGCCGCGGCGCTCCAGCAGCCTCCTGTGCCTGTCCGCCTTCTCGCCCGAGCCCGGGCCCGCGCCACCCCTGCCCCGCCGGCCGCCTCGCGGTGGCGGCGGCTGTGGCGGCCCCGGCGGAGGGGGGCACCCCCAGCCTCCCCGCCCCCCGCCTCCCCGCCGCCGCTGCTGCTGCTGCTGCCGCCGCCGCTTACAACTTGGAGGCAGCGGCGGCGGCGGAGGCGGCGGCGGCGGCCGCCGGGCGCTGCAGTGGGACGCGCGCGGCTGCGAGCCTGCGGGACATGCCCCCCGCGCCGGCTCCCTGCTGGCGGCCATGAAGAGGCAGAACGTGCGGACTCTGTCCCTCATCGTCTGCACCTTCACCTACCTGCTGGTGGGCGCCGCCGTCTTCGACGCCCTGGAGTCGGACCACGAGATGCGCGAGGAGGAGAAACTCAAGGCGGAGGAGACGCGCCTCAAGGGGAAGTACAACATCAGCGGCGAGGACTACCGGCAGCTGGAGCAGGTCATCCTGCAGTCGGAGCCGCACCGCGCCGGCGTCCAGTGGAAATTCGCCGGCTCCTTCTACTTTGCCATCACGGTCATCACCACCATAGGTAAGGGCTGGGCGCCGGCTCCCTGCGCCGCCGGAGGAGCCGGGGAGGCGGCCGAGCGCGCGGCGCGGGGCTGGGTGCGGGCAGCCTGTCGCTGGGGCTCCTCCCGCAGCGCCCCCCCCCCCCGCCTCCCTCGCGAGCCCCCTCCGCTCCGGCGCCTGGTTCCTGGAGGACCCCAGCCGGGCTCTCCCAGGCGCAGGTGCCTGGACCGGGCGTGTGAGCCTGAGCGTGCGGGACCGGGAGGGCGGAGGCGCCCTCTGCGAAGCGAGTGGAGGCTAAGAATAGTCCCCAGCAGACACCCACCCACCGCCCGGCGGCGGGCTGCGCGGCTCCGAGCCCTACACTTACTACCTCTCCCCGAGTTGGGGAGGGTGCCCGGCCTGCCATCCGCGCGGGGAGAGACTCCGGTGGCCAGGACAGCTCCCGGGGCGTGGGCGGTGCTGACCCTCGCCAGCCACCAGCCTCCGAGCCCAGATTTCAGCCCCCTCCCTGTTGGCGCCTCTTCTTCGAATTCTGCAGCGGGTCGTGCCAGGCGGGGGTGGGGGTGGGGTGGGGGGGTGTATCTGGTGATTGGTGAGGGGTTGGCAGCGGGCGAACTGTGCTGGGAGCAAGGAGGAGGGCCAGGGACACGGTCCTGGCCTGCCCACCCAGGGCTGCTGTGGGCAAGACCAGTCTGCGTATGGCCTGCAAACTGGAGAAGTTGGCCAGGTCTTGGGGGGAGCCCTGCTGGTAGGCCTGGGGGCTCCCCTGGCCCCCACTTGGCGCTGTGCACCCAGCGCTCTCTGGTGGGTGCCGGGGCAGCACCCTGAGGCCTGGGATCTGTGAACTTGCAGACATCACACTTTTGGGAGCTCAGGCAGGTCCCTTCCTCCCAGGTTTGTGGGTGCCCTCCCCGGGCAGGAGGAGGTGGTGTCTGACCGCAGCTTGTCCCAGCCTGCACCCTGCCCTCCACACCCTCTCCTCGTCCTGTCAGGGCCACCGTGCTGGCCTGGGGGGCCTCTCTCCCGTCCCCCTCCAGTCCTGTCTGTCCCGCACCCGGGAGGAGGCCTCCCCCTCTGCGGTCCCCTCAGCATGTGCCGTCTGGGGAGCTCTGCGCTGGCGGGGCGGCTCGCTGTGCCATATGCAACAGGAAGTCCCCGCTCGGCCTGCCTTCCCTTCTCGGCTGCAAACACTTTTCAGAGTCATCTTGTCAGAAATGTTTAATTCATTGCTGCAGCATCTCATGGTTTTGGAAGGAAGTTGTCCTTCTGTCGTCTCCATAACCAGCTTTGCTCCGTGTCCGCCACGCCTCTGGCCGAGGCCAGAACCCAGGAGAGCCTTCCTCACCCGCCGTGTGCTCCCAGTGCCCCATGGGCCAGCCGGTCATTGTCATGACGGTCCTTTCTGTCTGTAAACTTCCATTGTGAGCTGTGGCCGGAACACACATGCGCAGGCAAGGTCCTGGGGGTCAGGGCCTGTGAGCTGGAAGCCAGAGAGTAAGACAGATGTCCCAAGCCGACCCCCGGGGTGGGGAAGCCACCCTCCCCTGGTCTTTAATGATCTCCACCCAGGACGGGGGCGTCTGGCCGCTCTCTGGGACACGCCACGCTGGGCTGGTCCCAGGAGAGGGTTGGAGTTGAAATCGAACCTAGAGTTGTTGGTTTGCCTGAGAAAAGAAATTGTTAGATAAATTTTGTGCGGGTGTGTTTGTTGATTCTGACCCGTGGTTCTGGGCCTGTGCTTCTCACGGTGATGCCTACAAAGGGTGGCCCAGCCGAGGGGTTATCGTAGCGGGGCTGTGGGTGCGCCCCAGGGCGCCTGACGGCAGCGCTGATGCTTCTCTCTGCCTTTACTGAGCGCCCAGCTGCCTTACCGGAGAGAAAGGTTGGAATAATCCGTAAGGTAGGGAAGAAAAGATTGTCCTCGCGCAACTGCCCTGGGGTGGGAAGACACTGAGCTCGGAACCCGAGTCCAGCCACACTGGGCGTTTCCCAGCTCCCAGCCTCAGTTTCCCCACCCGTAGGAGGGAGGGGCATTGCACAGCGGCCACCTGCCAGGTTGACTCTGAGGGGTTGGGGGAGCCCTGGTACTTGCAGACACCAGAGACGGGAGCGCTTAGTAGGTGCGCACTGGATCCCTGCCCCAGCCTGCCTGTCGTGCGCTCTGCCCCTGGAAGCTGGTTAGTGGAGCCCCTGAATTTACAGGAAACAAAGCACCTTTCTAGTTAATTCTGTTTGTTTTCTTCTTTTTTTTAATATAAATGCAAATGAAGGTGCTCCAGGCCTAGAACAAAACCCAGCCCCAAGCCGGCCTCCCAGACATCGTCTCCTGTCCGACAGGGGCCTTAGTGAGTCAGGGTCACCTCCTCGGCTCACTCCTCCAGCCCTGGACGTCGGGAGTGAGCGCCCACTCGCAGCTCCCACTCGAGGGGCAGGCACCGGGCACTCGCTCCACTAATGAACCGCTTCTCGGAGGCAGCTAATGGCTTGCTCTGGGAAATGGATCTTACACACGTTATAACGACCACTTCCAGTCGGATCTGCGGCCGCGCCTTCGAGAAAGGCTTCGGAGGGACAGAGGCTGACTCTCCCGGGAGCCCTGGGCACAGCCTACGGAGGGACAGAGGCTGACTCTCCCGGGAGCCCTGGGCACAGCCTACGGAGGGACAGAGGCTGACTCTCCCGGGAGCCCTGGGCACAGCCTACGGAGGGACAGAGGCTGACTCTCCCGGGAGCCCTGGGCACAGCCTACGGAGGGACGCCCAGAGGTCCAGGGGCCCGAAGGCGGCTTCTGCTCCACCACACGCCCAGCCCGGCTGCCTCCTCCCGCGGCTGCTTCCCAGAGAGGATGCTGTTGACTTCTCCGCGTGGTGAGCCCAGACCTTTGGGACTCGCCATCGAGTTACAGATGGAAAGCCTGTCGTGCTGGTCTGATTGGCAGGACGGTTGGGAAGCTCTCCCCCGAGCCCCAGGCTATTGGTGGAGGTGGAGGTGGTGGTGATGGAGGCAATGGTGATGGAGGTGGTGGTGATGCTGGTGATGGTGATGGAGGTAGTGGTGACGGAGGCAGAGGTGATGGTGATGCTGGTGATGGAGGTAGAGGTGGTGGTGATGCTGATAGTGGTGATGGAGGTGGTGATGGTGGTGGAGGTGGTGGAGGTGGTGGTGATGATGGTGGTGATGGAGGCAGAGGTGGTGGAGGTGATGGTGATGGAGGTGATGGTGATGGAAGTAGAAGTGGTGGTGATGTTGGTGATGGTGATGGAGGTGGTGGTGATGGTAGTGATGGAGGTAGAGGTGGTGGAGGTGATGGTGATGGAGATGATGGTGATGGTAGTGATGGAGGTAGAGGTGGTGGAGGTGATGGTGATGGTGGTAATGGAGGTAGAGGTGGTGGAGGTGATGGTGATGGAGATGGAGGTGATGGTGATGGTAGTGATGGAGGTAGAGTTGGTGGAGGTGATGGTGATGGTGATGGTGGTGGTGATGGAGGTGGTGGATGCGGAGTGCTGGCTGTCGAGGCTGCCAAGGGCTTGACTTGAATTCCTCTGCCTGGGGCTGTGGCCTGGGTGCGCTAGGGACCCTGGAAAACTTGTAACTTCCCTGCAGGAGGCGCTTGAGGCCAAAATGGGGTTCCACACCAGCGGCCACTCCTGACATCAGGGCAGGAGTCCCTACGACGCCCCTTTTTCAATCTAGTGCGGGACCTGAGTGGTTACACCTTCAGGGTCACGGAGAAGAAACAGCGCTTAGAACGCAGGTCTCACCTGGAGGGGCCAGGAGGGCGAGTTACAACCTGCCCTGTGTGGGGGGAGGAAGGGGAGGAGGGGGAGCAGGAGGCTTACACCTGGGGTGTGATTCCCAGGCCCTTTGGGCCCATCTGGACGCGGGAGGGGGGGGGGCGGGGGGGGCTGGGGTGGGGTGGGTGCTGCAGGAGCCGAGGGCACCGCCTGGGAGCAGACTGCTGCCCGGTGGGCACCCCTGAAACACGGCCGTGGGCCCCTTGCCTCCCGGACCCAATGCCGCCCCTGCTCGAATGCAGACTTTCCAGACGCCGCCCTCATCTCGTTCGCACGCAGGCCCTGAGCGGAGTGTTGGGGTGAGGGCTCCCCACTTCCCGGCCTGCGCTGCAGCTTTCCCAGCGCGTGCGCGCCTCACCGGGCCGCGGCCTGGTCTGTGCTTTGCTCTGGGGACCGTCTAGATGACAAGATAAGGCCTGGCCTTGGGCGGGAGGGAAGCTGGAAACCCAAGCGCAAGGCGCTGTGCAGCCACCGTGAGGGGCAGGAACAGCTGAGCGTTAACCCCTCCCCTGCTGCCTCCAGAGTCTTCCTGGCTTCCTCCTGGGCCCTGGGCAGCCCCCCCCCCCCCCAGGCCCAATATTGTTGATACCAGACTGGGTCCCTTCTCGCTGCATCTTCCTGGAGGCACACTCACACCCTGGCCCTCACTCTGCCCTGTGGCTGGAGGGGTGCTGCCCACTTTACAGCTGGGGAGACCCAGGTGCAGAGGAGGCAGCGGGCCTTGAATGCCACTTTGTCTCCTCACAGCTCACACCCACCCGTCACCAGTGCAGGCACCCACTCACTCACTCGCTCACCCCTCCCTCTGCTGAGCACCTCTGGGCCCTGCGTCCCGGGCTCATTCATCCCCCCATTCAGCGGGTTTTAGCTCCTTCCACGCTCGTGCTGGAAGGGGGGCGGGAGGGGCCCAGGTGCAGGTGTAGGTGCAGGTGCAGGGAGGGGCCCAGGTGCAGGTGCAGGTGCAGGTGCAGGTGCAGGTGTAGGTGCGGGGAGGGGCCCAGGTGCAGGTGCAGGTGTGGAGAGGGGCTCAGGTGCAGGTACAGGTGCCGGGAGGGGCGCAGAGCTCCAGGCCACCTCAGCCCTCGTGCCTTGATGGGCGTCTCCACGGCGCTCTGGCCTCATCTCCTTCCTGCCAGGTGGTCAGCGGGTCCCAACCGCGTTTCATATGAAACAGTTTTCATGAATGTAATGGTCCCATCTCACCAGGGCATCGGCCAGGGGGCCT